AGAAAGTCGTATTAAGATTATGGATGATGCATCTCAACGTGATCATGCAGCTGCTTCTGCTGAAGAAGAAAAAAATAAACAAAATGGTGCTGCAGCTGACACTACACAAAGTATTGCAGCATCTGTCGGTGCGTTAGATGTTGATCCTAGACAATATGCTCTTTCCCAAATTCGTATTACTGGAACGAGATCAAGCGTTTCTTCGGCCGTTTCGGCTTTGCAGCATTTTCCGCATATTGATACTCTCGATATTATGATCATGGATTCCCCTTAAATTAGTTAGATATGAAGGCACTTGTGATTGAATTAATTAGCACTATAGGAACTTATTTCATCAATATTATTGATGAATGATGATAATTATTAGTATTTTAGTATTCTTTCTTTTGTTTTTTCTTTTTTTTATTACTTATTTATTGCAAAAACGCTAACAGAGGGTTTTGCACTTATTTAATCATTATTTTATTATTAATATTATCATCATTATTAGAGATGCTTTGTATATATTTGTAGGAAAAAATTATTGAAAAAAAAAAGAAAACATCAACAAAACAAAAAAAAAAATATTCTTTATGCTAGTATTTTTTATTATATTGTATTTTATTTGCTTAGAATTTTGCTTTATTTTTTTTTTTATTTTTTTTTTTTTATTAAAAAAAAAATTGAGAATATTTACTTGTACGTAAAAGGAAATTATAGAAGTTTCAGTATATATTCTATAAGAATTTCCTGATTATCATTATAAGTTGTATTTTTTGTTTTTCGATAGGTTGAAAAGAAATATTTGAATTAAATCGAGTACTGCGGATGACATTGACTTGAGTAATCTCGTTTTATTTCGTTAATTTGTACTCGGAGTTGATATCAAGATACTGTAGTAAGAAAGATACAATCTTCTGAAATAAAAAGGAAATAAATCAATTTATAGGTATCCTAAATAAGATATCGTAAGTGTTCTAAGATTTCGTTTTTTCTTTTAATCGATACCATTGATATAAGACGCGTATTATTTTATACATATTACCAAGAACTTACTGCCATCAACCCATACCATATTTTAATAAATACTTTCCGTAAATCTTTTAAACATGTAATACTCTTTTCTTGTTCATTTGCTTCTAGAATTGATGCGTTATCACGTGTAGTTATCGCGCTAAATAACTAGTACTGTTAATTAATAATGATGACATATATATTACGTTATTTGATAAACCAAAAAAAAAGGGATGATAATTGTCTTAATAATATGCTATATAGCCTCAACCTCTTTTGAAGAGTATGTTTCGAAAATATGCATCCTTCAACGTAAATTTTTTTCCTTTTTTTTTTTTTAAAAAAATTTATATAAATATTATCAACGGAAAGCTTTAATAAGAAATTAACCTTGAATTACGGTAATAATTTTAGGAACTCCGGTTTGATGGGTTTTGTTGTTGGGTTAATCGTAGGATTTACAATAAATGAATTTCTACGTACGAATCAACGAAATTTATCAAAGAAAGATTCTAAAACTGACGAACGCGAAAATCACCATAACGTTCAACTGCGAACTGACATTATTGATATATCAACATCACCAACCGAACGAATTCATCAATTACAAGAAGAATTCGATTTATTAACAATGAATCCTTTAATTAAATTAGAAAAGTATAAAGACATATTACAAGTAAATGAAAATTTATTAAATGAAAAAATTCATGAATATAAAAAATTAAAATATGAAATTTTAAATAAGGAGGAAGAAATTAAGTCGGAAATTGATTATTTAGACGATTTTACTGAAAATTTAAAATTATTTATTCAACAGGAAGAAGCCATATTGGTTAATGGTAGTAACGAGGATACTCTGACATTGATGAATATTTTGTTGATTAATTAAGAAAGATTTTGATATAGATGGTTAAAATTATATATATTTTTTTCCTTGGATAATTGATTAAACATATTATATATAACGAATCAAAACATTGCAAAAAGATTTAATAACTCAAAATGTATTGTAATAGTTTAATATTAGAAAGAACCAAAATTCACAAATATTAAAAATTAAAAATCAGAATCTAATTATTACTACTTATTAGTAAAACTAATAAGATTTTATTTTATTATTGTCTTATATTTCAGTTTATATAAATATACCTTTACTATTAAATTCAAATTTAAGAATATAAAGTTTTAATTAATATCAGTATTAAATTTTTATATATTATCATATTTATTTTATAAAAAGTTTTAAAAATAATAAAAAATATATTTGTTAATTTATTTGATTTATAAAAATAATTAGTAATAAAGATATTTGAATATTTATAATTAAAAAAAATTAAATATTGATTTATATAATAATTTAATAATAACAATTTAAAATAAATAATTAGTAAAGTAAATTAAAAAAAAAATCATATAATAGTAATTTTACTAATATATTTTTTTTTATTAATATGTATTTATAATATTTATACATCATAATATTTTATTTTATATATAAAATAATTCTTTTTTTTTTTTTAAAAAAAAATAGTTATTTATTTAAAATTTAATTTTTTAATTCTTAATATTTTATATATAAATTATAATAAAAATTATCTTTATTTATTTTTTATATTTTTTATATAATAAATAATTTTTTTTTTTTTTTTTAACGTACGGTAGCTTTACACAAACTTTATTTAAGAGTAAAGTAAAATTTTACAAAATTACAAATTACAAGATAGAGAGTACAAAAATTTCTATTTAACAATAAAGCCAAATCAAAATCAACCTTGTACCATTTCAGACTAACCTACCCAAATAAATTTAGAATAGGATCAACCATCTAGTACAGGGGCGTGGTTGCTACCAATTTAAAAATTTAACCAGTTCGTACCAAATCTAAAGGAGGAAATAAAGTATGGAGGGATACTAAAATTATGTGAAGGTGATGAAGGAAAGCCGGTGGTGGTAAAATGCAATTTTCGATCATTGAGCGAGATGTTGTTAAGGTTTTCAAATTTTTTGATATCATTGCAATGATCAATCCAAATGGATTTTATTTGAGAAAATGCATGATGGTAAGTAGAAGATAAGAGACCATTTGTTAATTGGAGGTTATTAACAAGGCAGTGTATTTTGTTGAATAAGGAAAGGGGTACGATTCCTTTGATCAAGTCAAAAAAGTTAAAAGAGTCAGGTTGATCATTTAAGGACCATATAGTCAAATCTAAGAGATCCGTAAACTCCTGAATGTTTGAAGTCAATGCAGTGAGATGTTGAATAAAAAAGCTTTTGGTCGAGGATATAATGTTAATGACATGATGTTCAATTTTGATACAAGTCCACACGTGGTTAAAGGTTTTATAAGTACACGAACATCTAAGGCAATTCCATGCTTGGTCATATAGATTTAGGTGTCTTATTTTGAGAATTTCAAGAGTAGAGAGCAGTTCGAACATAAGCTTGATTTTAAATTTGCGAATGGATGATACTTTGAAGGATGTATAAGAGTTGTTTTCATTGTCATTGAGAATAAAAGAAGTTCGAATCCAATTCACATCCATTGTACTGTATTTTTTAAAGTAAGGAAGTAGTTATATATTATGAAAATTGATTGATCTGAGAAGGTCTTTCAAGAATAATCTTGGTGGAAATAAGTACAATATTCTCGTTAAAATAGAGATTATAATGATGTCCTAGAAATTTGTTATTTAGAGTGATTGGGGGATTATCAGCTTTCGCTAATGCATTAACTACATTATTGTAATGATCATCTGAGTGAGCTTTGACTTTGTGAAGTTCAATGGAAATGGACTTTTCTTTGATTAATTTTATGACAAGGAACCAAATTGGATAAAAGGAGATTTTAAAGATGGGGTTAAAGGTAGGGGAGAAGGTGTAGAAGTAGTACATTTTATCAAAGGATGAAATGACATTTTGTGAGTCTGTGAAAATATTAATTGTAGCATTTGTAGGTGCTATATATATAGCAGATAGTACTGCTACTAGTTCTGCTAGAGAAGATGAAGATTGAGAAAGGATAAGTGAAGTGTTAAAGGAAAGTAAGGATGTTGAAGGATCAGTTTGCAACCAGGCCATGCCTATACAGATCGAAGAAATACCTAAATTGATAAGGGAACCATCAGTATAGAACGAGAGGTTGGTTGATTGTATGAAATAAGTTTTAAAGTTGTCTAAACTATTGAGGATTTCTATATTAAAAATTTGCTCAGGTATTATAGATGAAGAAGAAAAAGTGGGGGGATATTAAGTGTACTATTATCAATTAAATTGTAACTATATAAAGCAATTTCATAAAGTATATAAGAAGACAAAGAACAGATATGACCAACATTTAGAAGAAGGGGAGCCTTGATGTCAGTACATAGGTGCAAAGGTAATATCACAAAACAGGCTTCTTGTTTATTTCTCATATTAGAAGGAACAAAGGAAGAATCATCATTGAGAGAGCATTTATTGTATGGTAACAGTGAAGTTTTGAAGGTATGGTCTGGTGAGGCAAAAAAATGTTGTAAGTGAACTATATCATTATCGATTCTGAGTACTTTCCCGACTATGGCAGAATGGGAATTTAAGTGCCAGCCCACCGCAAAGTGTGTAGTACTTTTAATGTGAGTTGGAGGAATCGAGTATATATTATTTGTGTGTGGTTGATGATAGTTTGAAGGAATTATTCTTGTGTTCGGCGATGATATAAGTATTGATTGTAATTTGAGAAACCAAGCAGGAGCCTTGGGAATTGCCAGACGAGCTGCAGAAAATTTAAGGTCAGGTAATGTGAAAAGTGCTGCACCATCTGATGTTGTAATTTGATCAAGAAACATCAGTTGTTTACTTTTTAGAATTGAAGCAAATGTGCGATAGTCTTTTTTTGTGAAAATTTCATTTAAGGGAAATTGTCCTCCTTTTATACAATTGACCTCAGTATTGCTGTTGGAGATTGTGATGTTAAGTGACTTTAGTGCAGAAAGCAGAGCAGACCACCAGTCTTTAAATTTGAAGGAGTCATTATAAGGCCAGAATGTTAGGGGTGATTTCGAGAGCCATTCATTATTTTGAAGTAATCTAGAACGGATTAGAGATGTAGTGCCTAATAATCCTTTGTCATTAATAGATTTGATAAAATTGGAAACTTTTGCTTGAATCTGTGCTGTGTATAAGTGTGTGACATTGTAAAGTAGTGACGAATGGATGGCAATTGCTGGGGTACTTTTAGACAAGTGTAAATTTGACCTAAAAACTTTTCGATATGTCCCCATAATTTGATCACAGAATTTGTAATCAAGGAAAGTTAATTGAGTGCGATATAGTATTTTTGGCAAGAGGACTGAGTTGAAGACTACTTTGAGCTGTTTATCAGTGAGGAATTTCTTTTTTATTGTCAAGGTAGCATTTTGAATTTCTGTTTTTGCTTGTTGTCTTATAAATTGGCAATTTGGAAGGAGCGAGATCCAAATACCGAGATACCGAGTAGATGATTTGGGATCCATTGGTTTGATCCATTCTTCATTGTGTGCTAGTCTAAAGTGTATAGATGATACTATCAGTACTGAAGTAAGTAATACGGATTTATCCCAATTGACGAGAATACTATTAAGTTGGTAAAAGTCATCAGCTATTGTTAAGATTGATTCAAGATCATC